GTACCAGGGATTGAACTCGGGACCTTGAGCTTGCCAGGCAAGCGCTCATTCTGCTGAGCTATCTCCCTGGCCTCTTTTCATTCACAAAAATTTCACAGCTACATTTTGTCATTTTTTTTGCGAAATTTTTCAGAGGCCTTCCTCATTCTTATCTGCCAGAAGTGGGTAAAGAAAAGAAAGCATTTTTATTAGTTACTGTTAGCACGTATCACTCACCAAGGGCCTATTCCTCGGTTGGTGTTTTGGGGCCACCATGGCTGACTTAGCCCGAAGGTGTGTGTCCCTGGGAGCGTTCCCTCCTGGAAGGGAGACTTTCTAAGGAGAGGCTATTTATGGTGGATGCTCAGACTTGCGGTTTTCCTGTATAGTTGATAAGAACATTTTTTCTTCTTTCTCTGTGGTTGTATTACCTCCTGTAGACCTAAATAACTCCCTTTTCCTTTCAGTAAGTCACGTATCATTGTGTCATCTGATGTCTGGGTTATTTTACCCTCAGCACTTGGTGCTGTGTGGTGAACTGCACTGGACAGAGTCCATCCAAGCGTGAAATCACTGTTTTGGAATCAGGGGTTGGATTCAAACTCATGATTCTTTTTTTCAGTTCATAGAATATGTCCTCTCTGGAAGATCTCTGCAGAGGCTTCTTTGTTGTCATTTGTTGGATATAGCCAAATTTTCTTGAGTGCCTGCTGTAAACAAAGCCATATATTTGGCTGTGGAAATATATGCATGAATTTTAAGGTCACAGTGGCTTCCAGAAAGTCTCGGATGATTGAGAAGGAACTTGTGAACCATATTTGTCCTTTCAGCCCTATCTGCTTCCAAGCTGTTTATGATTTACAAAGATTTTATTATTATTATTATTATTATTATTATTATTATTATTATTATTATAGGGCCAGAATAGATGCCAGAGCCCAGTGTGGAGGACAGATCACTGTGGGAGCTTGAAATACGTATTGGAAAGGACCAGAAGACTGACAGGGAGTGAATGGCTTTACCTAGAGAGCAGTGAATGTAGAAAGCAGCTGTTGCTCTTGAGGCTACCGGAGCAGAGAAGTGCTATTCACTGGGCCCTTTCTGCAGTTACAACGGCCCTCGTTGCTATGGGGCATTAGAATTAGTGCTGCTTTAGAGCCAGGCCCAAGGCTCTGCATGAGTTTGTGGCTGCCTTGTCAACTGCTTTCGCTGCAGAGACTGCCAGGGCCAGAAGCTGTCGGCCTCTGAAAGTACTGGCCTCATCATTGTGAGATGAATCCAAGACCTACATGGCCAGGAAAGCTAGCAAAGGTTGTTCTAAAGTTTCTGGCCTTCTGCAGTACTAAGGGTAGCACTGAAAAATGGACATAGGCTAGAGTCTTGGGAGAAAAATCCCTGTATTCTTTTTATTTCTGTTTTTTAAATTAATTTTATTGAGAAACAAATAGCAACAAGACCATTTCAAAACCAATTAGTAAGACAGTTTCAATAATTAATGCACCCTGTATTATTTGTATTTTCTCTCTCTTTCTCTGCCTCCTTCCCTTCTTCTCATTCACCCTCTTGTTGCCTTAAGGAAACTTGTTTGGCTGTGTTTTGAGGGTTTGTTTGTTTGGTTTTGTGGAGTTGAGCTCTATTCTAGGAAGGTCCCAGAGACTGCAATCACTTGTGCATTGGATGGGTTTTTTTTTACATGAAGTTTCATATCCTTGTCCATTGTTATGGTTTGTGTCTAGATGTCCCCCAAAGCCTCCTACATCATAGGTGGGGTTTTTCAGTGGTGGCTAGATCTAAAATGTATGACTGCGTACTGCTAGGATTAAGGGCTCTGGGATTAAGGGTGTGAGTGCTGCAGACTTGCTCTTGTCATCTGCTTGCTTTTGCTGTCTTCTGCCTGCCATGAACTCTTTGTCCTCTGTGTTGCCTCTTTGCCATGCTGCCCTGCCTTGGACCTAGCCAATTATGGACTGAAATCTCTACAGACTGTGAGCTAAATAAACCTTTTTTCCTTTAACAGTGGGTGTCAGATATTTTGTGTCAGCAGAGAAAAGATAATTACTATATATCATGGCACATATGAATAAGATACATAGTGTTTCTGGGCCCATTTACCTGGTGGTAGATTTTGTTGCTGATCTCATCAAGGATTTTGAAACTGAAGAACTAGTCTCCTTTTCTGAATGTCATATTAGAACAAGAACATTGTGTAACATTATTGGGAGATACTGCAGTTGGGTACTAGGTAGGTAAATTGATTTTGCTTTCATAAAATGCACAAAAACATTTTCTCCACCGCAAGCAACTATTAAATACAAGTCTGCTACTGTCGGCTTCTCTTGCCTTTCTCAGCGGCGTGGCCTCTGGGCCACAGTCCTCTGTTCAGTTTGACAGGCTCTGTGGCGCTGTTCTAATGCCTTTCTCTGTCTGCTCTGACTCCCAATCAGCATGGTCTTCAGCAGAGAAGCCATCAGGAGACTTCTTGCCAGTAAGTGTCAGTGCTACAGCAATGATGCACCAGACGACATGGTTCTGGGCATGTGCTTCAGCGGCTTGGGAATCCCAGCGACACACAGTCCCCTCTTCCATCAGGTGAGACACTGTTTTGTATTTCTGCCTTGAGGGTGAAGGGGGAGTTTTCTTCTCACTTAAATATTCTACTTAATTCTCCTCATATTTTGGAAATGATCTTAAGAACTCCGTTGACTGGCTCAGGGCAGCATTCTTAACAGGTTGTGTGTTATTCCTATACATCATGAAGATGGAAGGCAAGGGACCAGAGAGATGGCTCAGTGAAATAGGCGCTTCCCTGGCAAGCGTGATGGACCTGAGTTCAATCCCCAGTTCCACCAAAAAAAAAAAAAAAAAAGATGGAAGGCAAGAGCATCTAGAACTCCCAATGATGCCAGACTTTGTAGAACCGGGAAAAGCTCCTCCCTCTCTCTGTCTCTGTCTCTTCCCCCTACCCCCTTTCCTATCCCTCTTCCTCTCCCCCTCGTGTTCCCCTTCCTTTCCTGTTATGGTTTGTGTCTAGATGTCCCCCCAAAGCCTCATGCAGTCTTGGGGAAGCTTCTGGAGTTTGTGATTGATTACTGTGGGTGTGGATGCTGCATCTGCCCTGGGGCAGGTAGTTTGCATTACAATGTAAGGTGGGAAGAGAAGTTAGCAGCTTGAGCTGCTGCTCCTCCTCCCTTGTGCGCTTGCCCTTTGCCACCACCATGAAAGGTTGCTTTCTGCTCTGTGCTGCTCTGCCTTGGACCCAGCTCAGTAGGGACTGAAACCTCCAGTAACTGTGAGCTAAATAAACCTTTTCTTCCTTTACTTTGGTTGTCGGGTATTTGTCCTAGCAATGAGAGAAGAATAGCTAAGACACTTCCCTTCCTTCCTCCCCCCTCTTTTTCTTCAGTTAATAATGACATTTAAAAATTATTGAATGTTGTCTATAAATACAAAGGACTAACAGTATTGTCCTACTAGCTGTCAAGTGCGAGCCTTCCTGCACTAGCCTGAGTTTGTACCCTGTTCATCGCCTTTAACAACAACAAGAAACTGGGCCTCTCTTCCCTTTGTTTATTATTATATAAAGTGGTTAAAACCTATTCAATTTTGGGATGGTATCTAAATATGTTCTACAAGTTATAGGAAAGAAGCACAAGAATATTTACCAGGAGTGATTAATATTTATTGCTTCCCTATATTCATTTGGGTGTTAGAAATAAAGAAATCTGTGTGTATTATTTTTAGTAATATTTTAAGAATCTAGGCAGTAGATGTCCTTTTATCCTAAGGTTAATAGTAGATGTACATAAACTAAAAATAACCTTAGGCCTACATCCATCAAATGTACTTATTGAAGAAATTGAAAGCTCTTTGAAATTTGTATATAAATCATGCATATTTTCAGTATTCTTCCTTATACTGAAAATGTAGTCTTCATGCTTTATTTAGTAACCAGTCATAAATGCTACCATTGCATTATTGAAAATTGAGCATGGCAGAAATGCCACTACTGAAAACAACTTGTACAAGGCAAGGAAAATATTTGCAGTATCAAGGAGGGCAAGATCCATTTCTATGTCCTTGAAACAGTAGGAAAGAATAAAAATAGACCTTTAATAAAGAGAAACACGTGAAAACCTTCCTGGTTCCAGTCAGAAGGCACTTCTTGGTCTTTTAAGACCTTCATCTGAGTCAAACATGACTTAGAAAGGCCACATACACGTTGCTTCTTCTCCTCCTTTATCTCATGCTTTGCTCAGCAAAGGAAGGATAATTGAAACTGCTGGTGTCTGAGGGAGGTAATTTATCAAGGTTAGTGTGACAAGTCTTAGATTTTTATAGCAACCCTTTTCTCCTGGGGAAGCACACATTAGTAAATAAAATGATAAGAAGAAAAGAGAGAAGGAAAGTAATTTAATGCTTGAGCAAAGCCCCTTTGAAGGTAATTCAAAAAGCTTTTCAAAAAACTGTTTACCACTTCCCACACTTTAAAACTCTTTACTTTTCTAATTACAATGAATTTTAAACCTTTCCAAAATCATAAAATATGTTTTAAGACCTGTCCTCTCCAACAGATAGTGCGATTTCTTCCAGTTCTTATTCCTTTCTGTTAGAGAATGTGAAATAATTTGGACAGTACCTTCTATTTGTAAGGTTTGAACATGGAGCCAATGGTATATTTGTTCATATTGACGCAGAAATATAAAGCAAAGAGATAAAAATCTCAAATTCTTGGTGATTTAGAGGTAGATTATTTGGAAACAGTCTCAGTGACAACCCTGCCCAGGCTTTGTTCCTTCCAGTTTTGGTCATTACATGATATTGTGGAGTCACTGGATCTAGAAGGGGACTCCACGAATGTTCAGTGCATCCCTTTCTTTAGAGCAGAGTGTCTGGAGTACAAGATTTTCTCTTCTTCCAAAATTATATAGCAGTAATGAGTATGGAATTATATAATGGGAAGTGAACTCTCTGCATAAAGTAGAATTATTAAACTGGGAAAATTCATCAAAATAACCACGCCAAGATTCTAGAAATCAAATGCAATGATAAATCGAGGCGCATTCCTGCTATACTTTTGAATCAGAACGGTGGAGGTTGGAGGCTTCTTGCCTGCAGCTGCTGCCATTCCTATCCCCTTTCTCCCTCAGCAGACTAGAGAAGAGAGCAGTTTTACGGGTGTGGGCCTGGCTGGAGTAGACAGAACCTTTGCTGACATAGGAAATGAACTTGATTTGGAAAACAGTGAAAATCTACATATAGATCAACTAAAATGGTCATTATGAAAAAGAAGAAGGCAAGAACAACTTGTGTCTTTACAGATCTAAGCTTGCAGACTGAGTTAGCGTGAAGGTGTATACTAAGGGCCAGTTTACCAACATTCGAGTTGTGAACTTTCACAGATAGGAACAGACCTCACATTAGGAACATTCATAAATCCAAACGAATTGTAGCTCTTTCCCTGCCGCCGCAGAGTCGCGCGGAGGCGGAGGCGCGGGTGTGTTCAAGATTCGGCTTCACCCGTAACCCACCGCCATGGCCGAGGAAGGCATTGCTGCTGGAGGTGTAATGGACGTCAATACCGCTTTACAAGAGGTGCTGAAGACCGCCCTCATCCACGCGTGGAATTCGCGAAGCCGCCAAAGCTTTAGACAAGCGCCAGGCCCATCTCTGTGTGCTTGCATCGAACTGCGATGAGCCTATGTATGTAAAGTTAGTGGAGGCCCTTTGTGCTGAGCACCAAATCAACCTAATTAAGGTTGACGACAACAAGAAACTGGGGGAATGGGTAGGCCTCTGTAAGATTGACCGTGAGGGAAAACCTCGTAAAGTGGTTGGTTGCAGTTGTGTGGTGGTTAAGGATTATGGCAAAGAATCGCAAGCCAAGGATGTCATCGAAGAATACTTCAAGTGCAAGAAATGAATGAATAAAAATTTTGGTTCACTTTAAAAAAAAAAAAAAAATCCAAACGAATTGTAAAAGTAGCTCGCGTGTCTGTGGACATTGTCACAGTTGTGATACTACGCGCTTAGTGCACACTGTGATAGTGTAGAGTGGCGCAGTGCTCAGTCGGAGCCCAGGCGTCCAGAAGCAAGAAGAAAGCATTAGTGATGTGGAGAAGACTGCTAGGAAGAGCAGAACAATAGAAAAGGAAACAAAAGTGAAAACAGTGTAAGACTTATTTTGTGAAAGTTGTGACTATTCTCCCAGGACAGAATTTGTTTGTGTATCAGAGAATTACTGACTCAGAAATATAATGCTTGAAACCCTCATAATGATACAGCTGCATAAGCTTTTCACACTCTTCTGACCATTAGAAAACAGCACGTGGGAGAGTGTAGTGAGCCCAACAGGAAGTAAAAGCTAAAAGCATCTTGGAAAACTGGCTGAAAGTGTGGATACGCTTTTCATAGGCGGAGGCCTTCTAGGCTTGAGATATTTAAGTATAACTTCTGCCTGTGGACTGGCCTCGCCAATAAGCTATCTAGGTATAGAGATGACTTGTAGCAAGCCAAGCAAAAACTAAAAATCTAAAGCTAATCATTGGTAACACATTAGAGAGAAATATTCCACAGAGTGATTCTAAACAAGTTACTTTGAAAAGCAATTAAAATAAATCATATTTGTATTGATACACTATCCAAAATTAGCAGTTTTAGTAAATAATAATAAGACATGCATGTTCAGGAAAATATGCAGTGAATAAAAACTAATTTTTAGTCAGATAATATACTGCTAGATGAAGACTTCAGTACACCAGTAATGTCATAATCATAGAATTAAAGAAAAATATGATGTCACAATATGCAGGGACTCTTGTTAGAAAAACAGGGGTAATGAGAAAGAGTTGCGTGAGACATCTGTAGTCTAAACATCAGATAACTGAGATGAGAATTTATCTAGATGACTTTAACAGTATAGTTGAGATGACAGAAGAAAAAAACCTGGTGAATTAGAAGAAAGATAAATAAAAATTACCCAGTCCAAACCCACTACTATGATGAACTACTGGATTATTTTGCTGAATTCACACACCTACAATATTTAAAAGGCAATGAAATACCCATCTCTGACAAAACTAAACAAAAAAAGAGGATATAAATGAAGGATCATTTTGTATCTGTATATACAAAATAAGATAAATATACAGCTACTTTCTCTTAATTCAATGAGAAGATTTGTACTAATAGTATTTGTGGACAGGATATCATGTCTGCATCTTGTACTATTAATAACCACTACAAAGACAATATGCAATGTACTGATTATTGAAACTGCCCTATTAATCGGTTTTGAAACTGTCTCATTGCTATTTGTTTCTCAATAAAATTAAAAAAAAAAAATTACCCAGTCCAGGGGAAAGAGAAAAAGACTACCAAGCAGAGTCTAAGAGATGTGATGAAACATAATGTTTCAACATACAGCGAATGGATGTTCTAAAGGAGAGGGACATACATTTCATCATAACAAATCCCAGTACATCAGAAAGCGTAACAGTTGTAAATATATACATATAGATGTGCCTAATAACAGCTCTTTAGATTATCAAAAATATAGGCCATCAGGTCAAACTTAAAGGAGTAGGCAGAAGTTAACTACTTGACCTACCTACTATATATAGAATATTTCATCTAATAACTTAATATACATTCTTTTCAATTATATAAGAACATTCTCTAGGATAAACCATATGTTGGGCATATAATAATTTTGCAGTACATTTACAAGTAATGACACTATAGAAAACATGTTTTCTACAAAATTAGAAATGAAAAACAAAAAATTAGAGGAATTCCAAGTATTTAGAAATTAAAGTTTCGGAATAGATCATAAATCTAAAAGGAAATTAAAGAGAAAATTAGAAAATACCTTGAATGAAATGAAAATGAAAATTGAGCATATATCAAAATTGTGAATACAGCTACCAGTGATTAGAGGAAAATTTATAGTTCCATTTATTGTATAAAAAAAATTCAATCAATAGCCTTAAGTTTCCACACTGAAAAGCAGACAAAAAGTATCAAATCAAACCTAAAATAAATAGAATGAAATATTGAGCAGGACAAAAGAAATCAACAAATTAGGAATCAGAAAAATAACAGAGAGAATCACTAAGACCAAATAATAGTTATTTTCAAAAGATCAACTAGATATTTAGCTAGGTTGATTTGAAAAAAGAGAGATGACACAAATCCCCAAAATCAGGAAAGAAAGAGGGGACATCATCACCCTGATGAAATTGTGTTAACATAGTAGATGATTTAAATAAAGTGGAAAATTTCCAGAATCACAAGCATTAGCAAAACTGTCTCAAGAAAAAATGCAAAATGAAATTAAATTTATATCCACAGAAGAAATTGCATTATAAAAGGAAAAGTGCTTTTCAATCATTTTTTTTTTTTTTTTAATTTTAGCGAAGGGTCCACAGGGTGTTCAGGGTCTCACTACTAGATTGGACTCGTAATGATATGCCTTTTTACAGACTCCCAAGAGCTGGGATTACAGGTGTGTGCTACCACACCCAGTCTCAATCGCTGTCTCAGTGCGCCCTGGGGGCGGAGCTGGCACCACAGGCCCTGGGATTGAACCCCCGGCCCCTGCTCCTGCTTGCAGGCACTTTAATCCACTGAGCTATTTGTCAACTCATAATTTTATAAGACCAGTACAAACCTGTTATGTCAGAGATTCATATTATTATCTTTAGAGCAAGTACTAGGAAATTTCAAAATACACCTCAAATGTTAACAAAAGGATTAAAATAATATATTAGAAGAATAAATCACAAACCAGTTTACTCTTAAATTTAAATGCAAAAATCATTAAAAATATCACCAAAGTGAATTCAGCAATATTAATATAATTAAGAAAACCTAGCAAAGTATCTGCCACAACCAGCTGGGCTTCATCTCAGGAATGCAAAGTTGGTTTGATATCCAAAAGTAATTATTATAATACAGTAAATGATTATGTGAAGAGTAAAAACCAAATCATTGTTCTGATAGAACCAGACAAGGTGACAAATCTAATAGTCCACCATAATAAAAATATAAAATGTAACTCAGAAAAATAGAAGTGTGCTCTCTTAACTTGGTAAGAGATCTACAAAATAACAAAATTAGGAAAAAGGTACATCCAGTCTCAACACTTCTTTATGTTAGGTGCTGGGGACTGACTCTGGGGCCTCACATTGGCCACACACACTCTACCCCTGAGCTGCCTCCCAGTCTCACCACTTTTGTTCAATGCTGTATCTGACATTAACCAATGCAATAAAGCAAGAAAAAAAAAATCTAAGGATAGAGATTGGAAGAGAGGGAGTAAAAAAGCCTTTTTTTTCTTCCCATAGGAAACATAATCTTGGATTGTAGAAAAATGTGAGGAATCTACAAGAAATAAATGAGACAAGCAAGTTCAGTGAGATTTAGAATACTAAGTCAGTATACAAAAAACATTTGTATTTTAACAGTAAGAAATCAAAATAGTTCATTCAAAATAGCTAATGAAGAAAATACTTAATACATTTCTCAGTAGAAAATTACATTGTGCACTGGAATTACAGAATATTGCTGAGAGAAATATGGATCTAAATCTTTGGTGGAAAACCTTTTAGAGCTTTCAATAGACAATCACGCCATACGTTTACCACTATTGATCTAATTAGATATATACCACAGTTACTGAATTTGAGAGCTACTACTTCTATAGAGACAACTTTCTTTGTGATGCTTTGTTTTGTTTTGTGGCAGGGTCTTGCTTTGTATTCCAGGCTGGCCCTGAGATCCTTATTTAGCCCAGGCTGGCCTTGAAATTACCTGATCTTCATGCTTTAGTCTCCTGAGTGTTAAGATTATAGGTATGCACAATCATGCCTGGCCTTTGTTAATATTTAATTCTGCTTAAGATGAATTAATTTTATTAATTTTATTCTAAATGCACGTAATCAGTGTTCTGGATTAGAGATAGCTACCCTGGCTCTCATTTTTAAACTAAGTAGCGCACAGTAAATAATAAACACCTACCCACACACCTTTGACCTAGTTTCTACTTCCAGGGCAATGTAAGAGCCAGGTTAACAGGCCTGCGTAAGTGTCCAAACAACTCATAGACAAGGAAAAAGAGAAAAAAAAGTTTTTCTTTTCTTAGAATGGTGAGACAGATAACTGTCTAGTTCCCCTCTTAAAAGGCTTCCCTCTGTCACCCACTTGGTATGGACATACAAATATCGGACTCTTAGTCTTTCTTGAGATGTAACTGTACCCCCAGGGTGATAGTGTTCAGGACATTCTGGTATCTTGAAGCTTAATCTAGTGACCTAATCCAGGGATATAATGATTGTATCTGGTTTCAGTTTTCCTTCTAATGCTGTAATTTGCATTTTCAGTCTCAGTGTTCCAGGCTCTGTCTTCTGAATATGTTGCATTTTCTAAGTTAAGTTCTAGAGAATTTTGAAGCAATGATAACACAAGCCACTTTCTAAACTGTCTTGCACACTGTTTTGGATTGTTTACATTTCTAGAACCAGAATTACATTGCCTTTCTCCCTGATGAATTCCATGTTTTGTTTAGTTTTTTAAAGGCATCACCTCATTATGGTACAGTAGATAGGCAGGGAGACCCTGAGAACACCGTGCTTCAAGCACCCACGTCAGATGTGTGACAGAGTTCTTCAGAGGAGCCAGAATAATTTTTCTGCCTTTTTTTTTTTTTCCAGCAGTTACGGTACTAATTTAATGACCTACCATGTAAAACTTTTTATATTTATGACTGTGCTTGATAAATCTCTCAAAGGCAATTCTGAAACACAAGCAAAAAGCAGGGCATTTTGGATATTAAAGTAATGCGGGACACAAGAGCGTGGAGCCTAAGTTAGAGAAGAAGTAGAAAAAAATTCCCTTCTTGTTTTTTAGATTCCCATAACCAATCCTAACTACTGAGGCAGAACAGTTGCTTGCGCGTTATTAATACAGTGTTAATGTTAATCTAACAATGCTTCAATGTTCTTCTGAAACAATCACTTTTGGTCAGCAAGAGAGCTAACCCTCTGTTCTCCATGCAGGCCCGGCCAGTGGATTACCCTAAGGACTACCTTTCTCATCAGATTCCCATATCATTCCACAAGCACTGGAACATCGATCCGGTGAAGGTATATTTCACGTGGTTGGCACCTAGGGAAGAAGACAAAGCTGCACGGCACACACAAGAAGGCGTCAGGGAAGAGTTGTAAGGCGGGGCGCCCGCGAGCAGCTTGAGGAAGACGCAGATGTGGAGCCTTGGCTTCACTCACCGTGCTGTCTCTGCAGTACTGCTTGGTGACTCCACGTGGCACCGGGCACTTCCTGACTATGGGAAATAATGTAATTGGCATTTTTTGACATGGAAGGAACAGGAGTCATGGGGTAAAATAATTTTTTTTTCTGGGAAAAATCACTTGCTTTTGACTTACACACTTATTATAATACAGTGATTACTGTGCATTTTTCAAGCTGTGTGACACAGCAGCTTTTTACTGCCACAGGAAAATAAATGGTACCAGAAGTCCCTTTCCTCTTCTTTCTCTATGTTATGCTGAGTTTCACTTGGGCATAATCCAGAGATGTGTCTGTTGTCCCTAGGTAAAGCAGCGTGAGTGTCTTTTGTCCTGGACTTTGGCAAGGCATGAACTTTTAAACCATACTATCCAAGATGACATTTGGTTCCTGGGAACTCAGTAGGAAGGATGTTGTATTGAGAATCCTTTGTAAAACACCCTAAAAGTCTTAACTACGGAATCCCCTGTAGTTTACATAGTCACGATCGTTTTATCTGTTCTTTTGTTTGCGCTTCCTAAGAAGAGAACAGGAGGTCTTCTGCTGGCACCTCCTGTTTGTTTAGAAGTGCACCTGGGTGCCATTTTTCCCTGAAGCCTGGTTTTTATGGCCACTGGCAAGGAAGAGTACTGGGCGCTGCCAGAAAGCAGTGTCCTCAGCCTTGAACAGCAAGATTATGAGCTCCGCGTGAGTCTCAGGGAGTGAGTTGTGTTTGAACATGGTGTTTTACTTTTGTCTTTTTTTGGCTGTTACTGATGCCTTTTCTGGCTCAGAATGGACAATTCCAACCCCAGTGAGGAAATCCTTATAGAAGGACAGTGTGATGATCTTGCAGTTCCTCTGGCTTTTTAAACAGTGACCCTTGAACACTGTATCCTGAAACAGCTGTAATTTTCAAATCATATGTTTAATATATAGTAATTTAACATTCTGCATTAATGTATAAAATTATTCTATATTTTAATGTTTTAATTATATAATTCAGTTTTGTAAAGGTATTTACATGAGATTTGATTTTAATACATTGTAAATTAATTTTAGTATAGTAAAATATTTTCTTTTCCTTTTTTAAAAATAACTGTTCATTAACTTTGCTTATAATACTTTTTGTAGCCAAGCAGAGTATTAAGCCATACTTCCAAAAGTACGTTATGTATGTATGTTGTTTTTTAACAATATATTTTTCATGTAGCTTAGACCTGACTCATGCACAATGATGCAACAGTATTTTTCCATATATCAAATACCAGCATGAGTGTATTTCAGTTCTGGTATAACATGTGCTACTACAGTCTTTTAATGGAGTGCACTGGATTCAGTTTGTGAAATGGAATTTTGGGATTCATCTGAGGAAAGGGCCAAGGGCTATTTGCTGGATAAAAAACACCAGGGGACTTTTGAGTTCCATGGAGCTGCCCTGATGGTGTCAGGATCATCGCCATCATAACAGGGACTTTTGTTGGTACCAGTATATCGTCTTCCTGTCCTCTGTCCTAGAGGGCCCTGTCTGCATACATCAGTAGAAGAGTCTTCAGTTCTTCCTGCATCTGCTACTAATTGTTCCCACCCAGAGACATTTCATTTGGTGGGATTGAACCCAGCGTGTCAAGCTTTCTTCTGTGTAATGATCAGTGCCTTCTATTACTTCTAGAGATCATCTGCTGGTACCTCTTGGTGTTTTGTTAATTATGTTTACTTGTTGGAACTGTGTTAACTCTAACCATGAATAAAACGTCTTTTCCTAAATTTCTGATTTCTCAAATGTTACACTTATTAGTCCAGACTGGCATGGGGGTGGTGAAGGGCATGGAGGAAAGAAATGAATGAAATCAGGGAAAAAGTTTGCAACTCAGTTAATACAGTTTTAAGAGTAAGAAACTTTACTTTCTTAGAGAAAATCAACACAAGTTGGAAATAGAAAGTCTATAAAGTCATTGCATTTCATACCATCAGAGGTGCAATTTGAGAACTGATTCCATGTAGTTCATATCTGAAGAACTCAATTTGAAGTCTGAACTTTCAGAAGACTGGCCTCTTCACATTTCCTTTGCTTCTTAAATGGGAATTCCTTTCCAAATGGCTATTTTAATCCTAGAGATAGCACCAAGGATTTATTTGTAGAATAACTGAAACATCATTTTTACTTCTAAGCTGTTTCTGATGATGTAGCCAAAGCAAGTTGACTAGGTAAGATTTTTATATCTTGCAGCTAAATCAGAAATCCAGACCAAAAAAATAACCTTTATAGAAGACTTGGTAACAAAAGCATGCTAAGTGATAGATGATGCTGCACATGACATATATCAGTGCTCTACATTTCCTGATGTATTGGAAACCCTTAGCACTTCTCCATCCATACTTACTGTAATTTAGTATATATATATATATATATATATATATATATGTATATTTCCTCAGAAATTAACACAGTAGGCATTTGTAAGAGTGCTTCTTTTGTCTTTCATTTGTAATGAAAGATGCAATTTGTGGAATAAAATGAAATCAGTCAATAGACTCAGCAGATGTTTAGCAACACCTATGTGCATGACATTCCAGGATGCCCTTTGTCCTATTCTTTATTCTGTCCCTGATACCTTTGCATGCTATTTTTTTATGTCCCCAAGTAGTCTGTAAATATGTAGTGTGAAAAATGTGTCTCTTCCTATCTTTAAAGTGAAGACTCTGTTGACAGTTCAGCTTGTATCTTCACTAGAAAGACAGTGATGATCAGTGATGGGGTAGAGATAGAAGAGAGGGTATCTTAATGAACAAGGTGCTTTCTGATAATGATCACTGTACAAAGACTCTAAGGACAGAATATTATGATACTGAGAGTTGGGCAGGCTAGGGACTACTTTGGAGGGAGTACATGCTATCCAAAAAGGTGATGGAAGAGAGTGTGAGTGACCAAAGGAATCAGGAAGCACAGTAATCTAGACAAGAATAGGCATGATGAAGGCTTCAACTTGGGAACAGGCTTCAATGTCTGAGAAAAGAATGCCTGTGTGGTCATTGCTTAGCTGTTGTCATTGTCGTGAGATGTCCAGGAAAGGTCCTACAAGCAGTTGGATGCGGGAGTTGGGACTCCATGAAGTGAAGGCTGGGAATTTGGAAAGCATTGACGTTTTAAAGGTTTGAACCTATTAGACTAAACATGTTTTTGTTTTTTGTTTTTTGGTTGTTTTTTTTTCCCCCTGTGGAACCAAGGATTGAACTCAGGCCTTGTGCTTGCCAGGGAAGCACTTATTCTACTGAGCCATCTTCCCTGAGACTAAACATGATGCTCTGGGGAGAAAGCATAGAGAATGAGGAACAGCCTGTTCCAGGGAGACAAATCAGCGGAGTGTGAGAGATACCAGGGAAGTGCTTTGAGAAGCAAATGATGCACAGAGAAGTGATGGTGGTTCAGTGGCCTGGAATTGTCAAGACCACTCCCGGGGAGTGGAGCAAAATGGGGCACAAAGAGTCTGTCTTAGCTATAGTTAATTCTGTTCAGTTATTTAAGTTATGAGTTTTAAATACAATGGAAGGTGTCTGGGGGAACATGGGCTTGGGGGGTTTGTGTTTCATGATGAAAGATTCTGTGAGTGCCTACCTCTGTGATGAGACTGATGACGCAGAGGGAGGAGGGTTGCATTGTTAGTGGTAGTAACAAGAGCTTAATCCACAGCGCAATTCAGGGATCTGCTTTTCTAGTAGAATCCACTATGAAGTGAGGGAAGCATATGGGTACCACTGTTGAAAGGTTTTAGATTTTGTGGAAGTGAACATGCGAGTTTTGCAACTGATCATTGCTGTTAAGTGTGAGACAATGTTATCTGTTGTGTTTGATTTTTATGAATGCTTTTATGGAGAACAGCATGAATTAAAATAATGACTAGGACTACTCTTTATATTGTGCCTACTAGACACTATTCTAAGTGTTTCTTACTTTGACTTATTTAATCTTCATAATTACCCTTTGAAGTATTGTTTTCCCAAAATTACATTGCAGGTGAGACAGCTGGTCACCAGTTCAAAGTTATATATCCAGTAAATGACTAAAATGATTTTTTTCTTTTATTATTGTTATTATTTTACTTTTAGTACATGTTTATGGTACATTATGATTACATTCACTACAGGGAACTGGTACGTGTGCATAACACATTTCAACTCTTCCACTCCTGTATTTTTGCAGCATCAGATTCATTTTTTTATAAGACATTTTCAAGTTAATTACCTACAGAATGAAAACCAGCGTAATTGGCCCGAGGACATATAAAATATGTAAAACAATTGTACTAAATCAAGATACACTTTTAGATATATTGTCTGCACTGATTTGCTTTTCTTTCGTTGTTACCTGTTTTTCTTTCATTCTTTATATCTGTGTCTGAGTGACCTGCGTTGGAGTGACTTAGACATGTTGCCTCCAGAGTCTATACACTTAATCCCTCCGCTCTTTCACCACTACCGAGAACAACATATAGTTGCCTTCCAATCTGAATGTATCTAGCACTAAATGTCAGCATATATAAGATACCTAGGAGTGAACCATGCAGTAACTATATAGAGATTACAAAGCATAATGATTATTTATCAAATAAATTATAAAAATGATACGTGTTGGGATATTAAGACCTAAACTGGCTACATGAGATTGAGTTTAAACATTTGTATTATCACCTTTGCAAAGAATATATCTAGAAAGAGTGACTGTGCTCATGTCTTTGGACTTGACATTTCTTTTAAGCCATGTATCCTACTGAACTCTTAGACACACATTAAGAAGCACAAGTGTTCAATGGCATCGCTGTGAACTGAGCTGAAAGCTGGAGTTAACCTGTGTGTCCGTTGCTTGAAGAATAGTCAAAAAAAAAAGTCACATATCTTTATATTTTTGCTGTATCTCTCTGTCTTTGCAGTGTACTCATTAATAGAAATGACCTTCCACTCAGATACCCCAATTTAAGCAGGAGAGAGAACATAGAACAAGACTTACAGTAAGATGTTATATAGTTTTAAATTATGCACAATGAAAAAATAAATACATAGAGATATATACATGACTTTTTAAAAAAAATCCATAAAGAAGAATGAACTAAACAATTTTTATTAGTACATGATTGCATTCATACTGAGTGAGCAGGTCCATGTATATAAAATTTTAAATACTTCTGTTTCTCTTCTCCTGCCATCCTTCTACTTTCCCTCCATCTCTAGATCTCCTTTCCCCATTTTTTAGTTCATGTTTTCAGTACATAATGACTGATATATCTTAATCTTTTTATGCCCCCTTCCCTCTCCTCCTACCCTTCATCTCTTCATTCCCTTTCCATTTGCAAAAGATCTGCCTGTTTTCTTTTATCTCGTATTACGCTCTGATTTATACTTTCCAGACAATATTTACCATTAGAAAGGAAGGAGCACAAACCTACCTGAGGTAGACACTGGGGAACTTGAATCAATATTAATGATTCTTCTTGTTTCTTAAGCATGTTGTATGAGTGTTTTATAAGTACTCTTTAAAAGACATCACGTATATGTGCATATATAAGTAATCCATATATGTGTTTGTGTATATATTGTAAATATTCCTTAAGGTTGTTCAACATTTAATTTTAATGTAATTCATGTTAATAATGACTTCAGTGTTTTTGAAAAATCTGAATGAGCATCTCAGAGTGTACTTGATATATTTCCTGTGGCTGCTGTAATACTTTATCACAGATATTGAAATTATCCTTCTGTTTTCTGTCTATAAATTTTGTCCTGTTTCTGTTTCTCATCCAAGCTAGTGGTATTCTGCTGATCTAATATTCTCAAAAGCCTTCAGTCTCTCATGTATATCAGGGACACTTATGCATTTGTTAGGGGTCGCTCCGTAAGGCTGATCATGTGTTCCATGTTCTGGCATTCTATTGAGATGGTCGAGGAACCATGAGTGGTACACATAATCTTAAGGAACATTAACCTCTTCATATGAGGAATATTCCAACTGTTTGACCTTCTCAAGGGAGTATTCATTGATTGTTCAGAAATATCTCTAGGTTTTTTTTCTTCAGAGCATGCTTTCTCAACAGTCTAATTTTAGCCTTTTAAATAATAATCTGGATTTACTTGAGAATTTCCCAAATTATCAGTGCCAAGTTGGCTTTCACTTTATTGTTCTTTCAATTTGTTTCTTTTTTTTTTCAAATTTTACTACAAATTGATTATCCATTATCCCCAAGTTCTTGGGACTGGAAATGTTTCTGATTTTAGAATTTTTCAGATTTTAGTATATTTGAGTAGAATTTACTAATTGGCATTCAAAAAGTTTTAGATTTCAGAATATTTTATGATGTTTGGATTGGAGATGCTTGACCTGCATAAATTTGTAAGATGAAATCAGTCTGTATCTTTAGTACTTTGCTTAGAAATCACAGTGTGCAAGTATGTGGAAATATGCTTATGAGCTCTTCCTACAAGACTGTAGGGCATAATTGAGCTAAACTTTTTCCTCCTAGAATTGCCTTTCCTTCAGTTTTCAAAAAATTCCAAGCTCTCCCCTACAAGGTCTTTACCATTCAAAGTTCTACCACCATTCTGTTTACATAATGTGGCAAAAAAAGGAGGCTGTTGTGAATGTGACTAAGGACCTAGAGATGGAGGGATCATTTGGATGGACTCTAAATGCAATCATATATGTGCTTCTGAGAGGGACCTGGAGATTTGCACACAGACAAGAAGTCAGTGTGATTAGAGACAGAAACAACAATAATGCAGCTACAAACCAAAGGA